GAGTTGCGTGCCGATCTCCCTCTCGTGCGACCATTACGCTGGGAACGAATTGAAAATCGATAAAACGAATATGATAAATAAATCTTTTTCTTGTAAATGCCGTAATCGAATATCTGATGAGGCTCTTCGTGCATACCGTGTGTTGCGAAGAAAAAACGACAATGCACACACATTCTCTCTCTTCTCTTTGTCTCTCTCTCTCTCTCTCTCTCTCTCTCTCTCTCTCTCTTCTTCTTCTTCTTCTCGTACGTCTTAGTTTACGTTGGTATTACGTACACCCTGTGCTCTAAGTTCTCCGCGCTTTCCTGGCCGCGCCTCCGAAAATAGAAATTAATTTCACGTGGTGTGCGCGCGTCGTCGCGAGCTTGTTTAAATATTACAGAGTTATATCATGTTTGAAATTTTTCTCTTCCCTCTCTCATTGCCTCCCCCTCTGCCTCGCAACACACACACACACACACACACACACACACACTCTTTCTCTCTCTTTCTGTCAAGTTCCTTTACTGCTTTCTACATCTATATACTCGTTTTCTTGTCGCTTTGCCGGCCTCCTTACAAAGTAGCGCGGCTCATGAGTACACGTCCGCACGTGTGTCAGTGTTTTTTCCTCGATATTAAAACTTTCAAAAGCTGATAATTTATCTCGTTCGTTCGTGGTTATTCTTGGTCGGGCTTTTTTCGCGTTATACCGATACACGCGCATGTAATCCGATTTAACATGTAAATAGGTGAGGTTATTTATATCCTGTACTTTTTACACGTCGTGGCTGGACGCGTGTAAAAATAGGGAAGCCGATGCGCTGGGCATAGAATCTCCCGGCGGTAACTGTTAACGTACACACCGCGCGCGCACGTACACACGCCGATTAAAAGGCATCCGCGCAAAGAGCGCGTTGTGTGTGGAAAAGATTACCGGGTCCGCCGATAAGTCCGTTAATCGTGCCGGCGTCCACGTTTTTATCCCGACGACCTGGCGCGTTTATCGACGATACGGCAAAACGTCGGCAGAGAGCAGCCCGAAACGATCCGTGCGCGTTCTCTGCACTTCTTGGTCCTTTTTAATCGTCGCTGCGCGACACGTAAATGGATCATGGAGCTTGCGCCTATGCCTACTCCGAGCTAACGATACATCGACCATTCTGCGCGATTAAAAAAAGAAAGGGCGTCCGCGCGCTTTGAGCGTGAAAGTAAAGGGACGTCTACATTGGAAGTAAACAGTAAGAAGTAGGAAGTAAGAATAAGAAATTGACCAATCATAGTTAATTATTCTTCTCACATTCGACTGTGGTTGGTCAATTTCTTACTCTTACTTCCTACTTCTTGCTATTTACTTCCAATGTAGACGTCCCTTAAGACACGGACACTTTGGTTGGGCATTAATCGACGAAAATTTTAGTCGAGCAAAATAACCGGTAAGTCAGTAGGCAAATGAGAGATCGTCGAGATTCGATTTAATTAATTGTTCAAACACACAATAATTAATATAAATTATTTGTAATTCAACTTTTGAAACTTTAATTTAATTTGTAGCTCGACATAATTGATTAATAACCGATTTCATCAACCGATTCAATTATTCGTGACTGCATGTACGACGATTGATTAATTTTGATCACGGATTTGTCGGATATATTAGTCAACTGAAATTTTAATCGTTTAATGTCCGCCACTGTGCCGGCTTGCAACGACGGCTGTTCAAATTTTTACCTTCGCTTTTGCGTTTCGCCGTTTTCATTAGCAGCTCGCTTTTACCGTTAAAATTATTGAATATGGTGTCTCTGTAAATATTTACATTCGGGATGTCAGTTCCTTGCGCTATACTCCCTCCGCGCTATTATGTTCAGTCCTCGACGATGATGATGGTGGCGGCTATTGTTGTTGTTGTTGTTGTTGGGCTCTGCTCTTTCACTTTTAACGCGTCTAACCCACTTAACACGCGAAATTCTTCACTTTACTCGACGGGCTATCAGAGGCGAGACCCGCGGCCACTATTCAGCATCGGCTCGCGTCCGCAAATGTTTCGGTAAATTTAGCCGCGTCGACGAAGTGGCGTATAACACGACGATATTGCTTTTGACATCGTCGTTGATGTATGGTCCTCGTGTATGCACGAGAGACGAGAAGTCTTGCTGGCGGAAGCGCGGCAGGGGGACGAGGCGCGGCTCAAGGCTAAATTGCATTGTTTCCCCCGTGCACACAAATATTATTTTATTATTGCGTGTGCGCGAGCGAATCGAGAATGCTGCCTGCGATGGCACGAGAGAAGGAGATTTAGAATATGTCGCCAATACAGCGAGCGCGCTGTGAGGTCACGATACTGGCGATACGCTGTGAGGTTTCGACTTTTTCCCGCACAAATACACGGAAAACAACAACTCCGTCAGTGCAGTCGAACTTTCTGTTATGTGGGGATCAGATGAGGAACTCGATTATAGGAATAGAAAGGAAACCAATACAAAAAGAATGGCCTGTGTCTCACAAATTAACAGAATTCACATGTAGATTTTTGCGTCACAAAAATGTCAAGCCCGAAAAGAGGCAATTTTTTAATAGCGAAGTTAAGAACTCAAAAATCTACGTAACTCTTGCGAAATGATATGTATGGGACCTTTCAGTTTGATTTAATCTACGTCGTGACGAAGACGTCTTCTGCTGTTCACTAATTTTCTTTAATAACTGAAAATTTTGCGTGGTTGTTTGCCAAATGGTAGAAGAATCGTGTATTCTGTTTCATCTAATTTACATATGTATACAGGATATGTGCGACATTCAGCGTCAGGTACCTTGTATATCTGAATAATATATTCGCAAATGAATATTCTCTCTCTTATCGTATTTTACGTTCAATGTACATGAAGTCAAGTGTTTTGAGAGCGCGCGGCCGGGCACTTGTGATATCGAAATATGCAGCATGCGATTGAAGAAACATCCCGAATGAGCGCGCGATGCTTGTTTAATCGCACGAACGATTAATTAACTGAGCGCTCGCGTTCAACGAAATACGTCCGATCATGTATGTGTATGTATGTGATTCGTTAAATGCTGTACGGACGAGGTGTGGCGCGGGCGCACAGTCGTTTTATAATAACGGTATTATTCGACAAATAACTGTGTGCTCAAAGTGTTGACGCTTGATGTTTCGCTGTAGAACAGCTCGGCTAGTTCGTCGATTTCAATACGCGCTCGGGGCTCACGCAAATTATTATGATCGCCGCGATGCATCCAAATTTCCGTGCTTGCTCGTTATCGAAGTAGAGATGTTGATTCGCGTGCCGCCGCGTTCTACCGTCGCGACATAATGAGATCGAGGTATATTCCTCGCGGTTCTTCGTCAAGCCCTGCTCCCTGCGTGTCAATGCATGTCGCATTTTATGCTGTTATATTGACATGACCTTTTAAAAGGATTAATCGATACGGTCGCCTCGCAGTAAGGTGTTTCGTCGATGAGAAACAAGGGCCGCGAACGCCGTTCTCGATAGGAATTATCGTAGAATCAGGTCGCGACTATTATTTATCCCCTTTCCACCATCGGATTCGGGTCAATCGATCCGATATCGGTTACATACTTACATCGTTTACGCCGCCTCGCTCACTCGGGAAAGCCGCGACCGACCGTCGGAGGAATCTCGCGCGCGCGGCATTGTTCAACGCGTCGCGTGTGTGTGAACTTTCGACGCCTCCTCGTGTATACCACGTGTATTAAATTTCGATTTTCTCGAACCGCATCGGATCACAGTCGAGAACGTGATATTAGACGTACGAGAAATTGTGTGTGTGAGCGGAGCGCATATAATACGCAATAATTCTTGGAAAACACATGAGAGTATTAAAAAAAAGTTTGCAGAGAGAGAGAGAGAGAGAGAGAGAAAACACTTTTATACACTGAGAGAAAAAATATCTAAGAAATAAAAGATATTTATTCGGGGCGGATTAATAACATATTTGCTTATGTATCGATACAAAAAATATCTTTCAAATAATATAATACACATTTTCTTAAAATCTCAGTTTTTCACGAAAGCAGTTGCTTACTCTATTGAAGTAAAAGAATTTAAATTCATGTGAACACGTTATTATCAGTCATCCAATAAATATTTTTGTATTTTTCAGATATTTTTTGTCTCAGTGTAGGTAACGAGAAAAATTCCAGGACCGTATTCTGTTTATATTGACGTCGTCTCGGGGGGTATATTTGCATGACCTGTTTTCATTCTTAGAACGAGTCGAGCACCTGAGTCGAAATTTGGATTCTGCATTGATTCTGTATGTAACTACCGCCGATCTTGAAGTACCAAATTAGAAAATCTCGAGATTTAATACTATTTTTGTAGATTTATTAAATTTATCTATTCACGCTCGCACACCAACGTTTGTTCATTGTCATTTTCTCCGTGTGAACCTCAAATGAATGACTCACTCAAGAATGATCCAATATTTGATTATTTCAATATCCTTGCCACTTGCGAGAGAGAAAGAAAGAAAGAGAGAGAGAGAGAAAGAGAGAGAGAGAGAGAGAGTTGTAAATAGAGTATGTGAGATAAGTGAATATTGAATAATTTAATAAGAATTAATGGTTAAAAGAAGCCAAAAAAAAATTTTATCTTCGTAATCTGCCTGTTAAAACGTAATTTATACAAGAGCCAGCGGTTGTATCGCGTTATATCACAGGTTTCATGGTCGAGATTCGTAGTTGTTAATTATTTATGTTCTTTGATCGAGAACATAGTTAATTACAGGTTCATATATCGACTTTATATTCGAGCGCTATATTTCTTGTCGTATGAAACATGATGTATAGGTTGACGTGAGTAATCAAAGGCTTATGATGTGTATCAGAGGCTTATGATGATATCCAAACTGTAATTATTTAATCAAATAATAACGGGCTGTGAATGCCGGCCGAAATTTCGACTCGGGTGTCTCTATTTTCGTCAAGTCGCCGACAAACGCCCGTCAAAGAGTCGGCAATCTTCTGCATAATTGTTGGTTTCACGCACCTGGAGATACATCGCTATCCCTCGCTGTCCTGACTTGATCCTGCTGCCTCCGACGTGGACATCTCGGATACTTCCCCATGACACTGACACTCACGTGACTCGATTCGATGAAAGAAAAACGCGTGTTAATTAACGCGACGTCGATCCGGTTCAATGTCGACGATGCACGCGTCGCGGGCATGTGCGTCGCTCGTCGGCTCGATACGTAATAATTCCGTAACGTGCGCGCGTTCGGGAAAGTTCGCGACGCACGAGACTACCAAAACAATGAGCAAGACAACAGCCGGCACCTGGCGCCAGCAGAGCGCTCGAGCGCAGATGACAACAATCAACACCTTCAAAACGTTTCGGGCCTTCGGGACGGTTGAACCTACCTTCACGCGTCGTCGACTTTTTCAAGTGGCTTTGTTGTGGCGAGTTTCGAGCGACACGCATACCGTCGAGTACGTGCATCTGCGCGTTGTCATTCAACCGCCGGTTGATCAGAACATTTCGTCGGCACTTGAAACATTGGCCGCTCTCAGCTCAGTTGTTTCGCAACTGTTGCGAGTTTAAACATAAAATTTGCGAGTCTGATTGGAATCTAAGGATATACGTATCCTTAGATTCAGCCAACATCAGTAGCATACTTTCCGATCGGATTGACAGATCTTGCAATGGTTGCGAAGCAGCTTCTTCTACTGAGCGCAGCCATTGAGTCAGTATCGCGTTAATCAACGTGCAATTTTCTCCGATCGAGTCATCGTAATTAATGCGAGTGTCAGTGCCAATACCAGTGTCATGACTCTCTTAAAGTGAATCAGTGAATAGTCATTGACATCAATTATAAATATGCTGAGTTGTAAGTACATTAACAAGGGAACACCGCGAATCCGAATTCTTTGATTCTGATATACTTTTGTGAGTATGTAGAGTAAATCAATACATGAATAACGGTATATTCCATTTGTGCCTTATCGCTATTTAAAGGTATGATTCACACTCTCAAAGTAAAAAAGACGATTCCACTTTTTCGTGTATTACTCTTAAATTAAAGGAGATAGAAAAAAATCTTTCGAATAAAAGTTTAATGATAAGTGCTGTAAATTGACATAAGCACAAATAAAAAATATTTATAAAAATTTTTTTTACAATGAAAAAGATATTTTTTATTTATGCTTATGTCAATTTACAGCATTTAATTTAGCATTAAACTTTTATTAGAAACATTTTTTTCTATCTCCTTTAATTTAAGAGTAATATACAAAAAAGTGGAATCGTCCTTTTTACTTTGAGAGTGTAAATCATACCTTTAAATAGCGATAGGACACAAATGGAATATATCGTTATTCATGTATTGGTTTACTCTACATACTCACAAAAGTGTATCAGAATCAAAGAATTCGGGCTCGCGGTGTTTCAATGTTATAATTGCAAATCAGTGTATAGTCACTGCTTTCAATGACGTTTCACTGATTCACTTTAAGAGAGAAGGGTGTTCGCGGCGAGAGAGGCAACAGGAAGCAGGATGCTGAAACCGGGGAACCGGGACGGAGAGTAGCAGGACGTCGGAGCGTGACGAATCATATCTCTCCAGGTGTGTCAAATTATTTATTGTATAAGATTTCGATATTTTAACGGACGTTTGACGAACTTATCGAGAATAAGGAGACGCCTGAGTCGAAATAGTTCGTCATTTGATAAATTGTAGCTCGACAATTATAGTAAGACAGTGATAATTGTATTCATGAAACTCTGATTATTTGTCGATTTGTATACACAGACTGGACATAACACGCGATGCAGTTACATTATTAGGACTTTCTAATTGCACAATTGATTTTATATTAATTTATGGTCGATTTAATATTAATTGATTATTTATTGATTATTTTTTTTCAAAAATGAGCGAGAATGATACCTGAATAATTTGTGGTAGTTTTACGTTAATATCCAGAAATAAATGTATGCATAGTTCAAAATATTAATAACACAATTATATCGAAACGCATGCTGAGACACCATTATGGCCGGTCTGTACATAGTTGTTTGCAAATCGGTTTGCACACTTTCTATCGAATAAAGTCGCAACGCTTTGGGTTGTCAGAAGTGGAAGTCACTACTTTAAGTAGCAATTAGTTATGGCTGGAGCCGAAGTAGGCAGTGCAGAGTGTGATATTCGTGAATTTGGGGAAGATAGGACACGTTTGAAGTTGAGAGAATGTTATTTTGAGAAGCAACTTTTTTATTATATTTGTAACCGATTATTGCGCATACGTACCCGCAGTGGCTTTCAATTCTCGCGACTTTTGAAGCGTTGCAATTCATCCGATAAAAAGTGTGCAAACCGATCTGCAATCGACTGTATACTCATTTCATACAAGAGATATCGATCCAAACAGCCGAATAATGGTCTACGAATCCCAGATAGACTTTCACGATTAATACGACGTGAGACAATCGATAGTGGAAGCTTTACAATTCTTTTAATTACATTTATGAAGCAAATATACTGTATTGAATTAATCATTAAATTTACATTATATAATAATGTGAATTTCTTGTTATTATTGACGCAGCAATTCCAAAAAAACGGTATTCACAGTTTGTAAATTATTCACGGTCGGGAGCATCGTAGCTAGAAAATTCCCGATAGACTCTGATGTACAGATGAAATTTATAGTAACTTTAAGTATTAAATCACGAAATTGTTCAGCAACGTTGAGTCTTTTTTAACCCATCAGAGTGCAATCATATTTATCACGTAAAATGGCAAAAAAGAGTTACACTCAGATTTGCATATTTAACATGACATTGTTTTGAGAAAAGAGTGCTTAGAGAGCAAAGAGTTATACTCAAATTTGCATATTTAACATGACATTGTTTTGAGCAAAGAGTATCAAGCTCCCATACATATTTCGTCTCTATTTCAAAGACATTAAAATATTCCAATTAATAATATATCAATTTGAAACGTAAGACGAGTAGATAGATTAAGAAATCTCACAACAAAATCTCGATATTGTTTTCATAGTCGTTTGAGAGGTAAGCAGCTAATATGACTGTTGAGATAGCAACCTTTTGGGTCGTTTATGTCCCAAACGATTACGAGAATAATATCGAGACTATGTGCTTAATCTATTCGTTTTGAACTTCAGATCGACGTATTATTTACTGGAATATTCAAAGTTTTACAAAATCTCATAAAGAAGGGGTGAAACTTAGCCGTACTTTTTGAATGATCTTTTCTGTGTTTTTTTGCCATTTTACGTGATAAATATGATTGCACTCTGATGGGTTAAAAAAGACTCAACGTTGCTGAACAATTTCGTGATTTAATACTTAAAGTTACTATAAATTTCATCTGTACATCAGAGTCTATCGGGAATTTTCTAGCTACGATGCTTCCGACCGTGAATGATTTACAAACTGTGAATACCGTTTTTTTGGAATTCGCCATATTCCGACACAGATTTTCGTTCGAAACTAGAATTCTCTCGATCGTCAACATTACGCTTATCGTTACGTATGTAGTTGGATTTTTGTCTTCTTGATTCCCCGCGTCGTTTGCATCATCGACGAGTGTAGCTCGTCGCTCCGTCGTTGAAAGATAATTTTTCTTCAGCGCGAATATCACTCAGAGTCGGAAGAATTCGCGACTCCTGGGAGAGGCGCCGCGATGCATTCCCCAGGTATGGTGACGGCCGCGTCGGCTCTCTCACCGCCGTTGCATAATTTCGCCGCCGCTGACACACCGATGTGTTGCACGGTGGGGCAATAATGCGTCTCGCAATTATTTTCCCATGATGAATAGTTGCGCGACCGTGTCATTATACCGTCCATCCATCGCGCTCGAATAGTGGCAGGTGACGAGCGGAAGAAAAACGAAGAAGAAGAAGAAACAATTTATCGGAATTCGATATCGGCGAATTTCAATTGGCGGCGTCGAATATAAATCGAAGACCTCCTGGAAAGACTTGTTATTCTCTCGAATGTGCGCGTTTTTGCGGAATTATTTCGCGTGAGACACGCATACTCTCTCGCGAATAAAAATTCAGCCTCGTGTCGCGCAATGTGTCTGTCACGAGCCGACGTATCGTCGCGGAAGGAATATCCAAATTTTTACGTAACATCACTTCTGCGAATCATTTCTGTTTCGTTTCTCAAGTCGTGCGTCGTTTCATATCAAACGATTAAGCGCGCAGCCTTCTCTCTCTCTCTCTCTCTCTCTCTTTTTCTTCGATTTTACGCGCCGGTAAACTCTGCCATTAGAAGCACAGCGAACACACGTGCATTCGTTCTCGCATCAGGCTGCAATTTCCTCGTCCACAATTACTATAAAATAGTCCTCGAGCAGCATCTCTACGCTAGCCTCGCGGAAAACGTCCGCTCGCGTGTGCGATCGCCGCACGCGAGTCACGATAAGCGTCTCGTTTGCATTTCCCGAAGAAGATAACGCTGATTCATTTTTTAAGCGGAATCTATTTCTCTCTCTCTCTCTCTCTCCCCTCCTGCGCTCTCGGCTTTTCCACCGTAATCCGCAACGACGAGCACGTAAAAGTATCGGTGTCAATATTCCGAGGATAATCGCCGGCTCTAGAAGGATATCAATAATATCTGCGAATATCGACAGATATAGATTGACTCGCGTAGAGCAGCGTGTACGATTATTCGTCGCGAGACATGAGGTAAAAATACCAATTCTCGGACACGCACCTAATCCTGGGTGTTCTTGCTGTTTTGAATTGCATTTCAAAAGTGTACAATAAGAGAAAAAATATCTAAACAAGGGAAGAGGAATATATAAAGATATATTCATTTTGCTTACTAGTAGCATATGTATTTAAATCTAAATTAAATAGAACAAACGATTGCTTTCATGTAAAGCTAAGATCTTAAGAAAACGTATTTTTCCTTATTCGAAAGATATTTTATGTATACTAATATAAGTAGACACATTATTATGTACATATATAACGTCCATCGAATCAATATATTTTCTTTCTTAGATACTCCTCCTTTTTTCTTTCTTTTACATATATCGAATATATATACACATGTTCTATGTTGAAAATTAAAATATCGTTTCAAAAACGAAGGCAATTGCAGCAGGTCCTTTTTCACCTCAATCCGCTCGCTCGTAAATCAGAGAAATTACGGTATCTGTACATCGCACGAGGCACCGTTACCGACATCGTTGCCGGTCGCGCGGCGCGATATCGATAACGAAGAAATTACAGCC